ATTGAATACACATAGACTTTTGTATATTTTACAAGTCCACATTGACTTTTACAAGTACACCTAAACTTGTAAAATCCATGGACTTTTAAAATTTTGCCACTAATTCCTAATACAATACATCTTCCTAAGTTATCTTACATTTCCACACTCCTTAATTTTAAATTTTGTTCACAAATTACTCATGCTAATTTAATTAACATTCGATAATATCTCTTCAATTCTATTTAGGTCTCCTATCCAATCAATTCTGTCCAATTTTTTCCTCTTCAATTTACAAGAGTCTCTTAAATCAAGTAACTGCTCCCTCTAAATTTATTCTTTAATCCTCTTTAATCTTCTTTTGATTATTCTTTAATTTTCTTTTTAATCTATTTTAATTTTCTCTCCATTTTTTCAACACATTGTGCCGTTCTTTGAATTTTTCTTTAAAATGCTAACTTTCCTTTGAATCAATAAGCAGATTTAAATGTGCTTTTCTTATTATTGTGCCTATTGTTGTTTAGAATTTAATTCACTCTTTTGTTAATATGAAAAGAGAGTTTAGCAAAATTAAGTAGAGCAATATTGATTTGTCTTTTTATACAACTGTTTTGGTAATGATATAATCACATTTACTTATTAATGTATTTTATTATGTATTTACTCAGACAAACTTATTTATTAATGTTCACTTATCTATCTCTTTGGGTGCAACATCTGTCATTTGTACAATTAATCGTAATTCATTTAGTTTTGATTTTATTTATTGTTTAGGTATTTCATTTTTTTCTTTAATTTAAGTTAGTTAAAATGCATGTTTTAATAAGTTTATTGTGCTACGAGAAAACGTTTAAAGGGCATTGAAGTAAATAATCAAATTTGTAGTATAAGATATCTATCATTCAACCAAAAAATTAATGTGATATTCCCTTAGTCTTGACCAAACACAATTGTGATACAATTGAATACATTCTCTTCAATCTTACATATACAACAATCTGACAATCCCAAAGTAATATGACATTCCGTGAACCAAATGGGACCTTAGGTGTTTGTCAAGTTAAATAATCACTTTGCATTCCAACTAAAAACATTTTGCATCATACCATACCAACAATGTAAAATATTTTACGTATGGAAGGTGGTAAAATACTACACATGCTTTTTATAAAGCACTGCAACGCATTTATGTACAAATTAAAAATAAATTATACTCTACATGCAAATTAATTGTGTCTATAAACTTTGCATGCAATCATTTCACGTACAAAGATTTAACGTGTAAACTGTCAAACCAGCCCTTAGGATAATAGGATAGGTGAAAGTCGGTTAAAAAGTTGCTCACTGAGGTGCTTTCCGCTTACTAAACATATCACCTCATGTATTAACTAAGCGACAGTTTGAATTTTTTCAGTTTTCGCATTTTACACCTTATAAATGTATACTATACCCCCCCCCCCCCATATTGGGATGGAAGGGAGTTGTGTGTTTTTTAAGAAAAGTTGAATTATGTGGTTGATAATGAGTTGATTAAGTGGAAATAAAGTAAGAATGAATTACAACCACACAAATGTTACCAAATATGGCATTAGACGAAATTAGTGGGGCAGACGAAAAAGGAAAATGGAACAATTACAGTGGAACGGAGGGAGTATTATATAAAGTACGCATATATTATACTACTTTTGTCTCTTTTTATTTAGTCATCTTTGATTTTTCCAATCAAAGATAGTAAAGATTTGACCAATTATTTTAACAAGTACTCGTATATATTATGTAAGATTTATTAATTTTATACTTTTATGATAGTATTTTATACAAAGAACATTTTGATAGGATTGCATATTATCAATACTTATATGAATAAATATATAATCGGTCAAAGTTTGACATTATTGACTTGAAAAATCAAATTTGGCCAAATAAAAAACGACGGAGGAAATATATACAATATTATGTATACATTATACGTAGTATTGTATTGTATTGTATTGTGTTGTATTGTGTTGTGTTGTGTTGTGTTGTGTTGTGTTGTGTTGTGTTGTGTTGTGTTGTGTTGTGTTGTGTTGTGTTGTGTTGTGTTGTGTTGTGTTGTGTTGTGTTGTGTTGTGTTGTGTTGTGTTGTGTTGTGTTGTGTTGTGTTGTGTTGTGTTGTGTTGTGTTGTGTTGTGTTGTGTTATAATTCTCCATGCCAAAGATATGATGTTAGACCACCTAAATAAAGTTTAAAATTAATGTAAGTTGAACATTGTTCTCATTACAATCACATTTTTTGTTTTCATTTCTCAAATGCGATTCGTAGCATTGCAGATTTGCAGTAAAAATGAAATGAGTAAGATACTAATTTTTATTATAAATTAGTTATAGTGGAGTTTGTTGGATGTCATTTACTTTTCAGCCTCCACATTTCTCAATATTAAACTGGGCAAATCTCCAAGTTTAAACAAGATTTACCAAAGCCTCCATGTTTCCTTGTAAGTCACTTAACAAGATGCATGATGTATGACAATTACTAAGAGTATATGTAACATTCTTTTAGGATGTTGATTGTCTAGAAATACTTGTGGTATAATATATGAATTATTTAGTTATATAAATAGGTGGATATAATAATTCGTGTAAAGAACAATCATCCACATGAGAGGCATAATTACATGTTTAGCTAGTTGAGATTTAGATTCATATGTAGTAACTCTAAACATGATATTATTACAAGCTTCTATGTATTTTATCTCTTGAATTAAAATTACAATCATTTTAAGTTTGAATATTCTTGAATACCGCACTAACAAGGCCTCCCAGGCTTATGTTCTTCTACTTCTCACTAATTGATATTCCCATCTAAGGATTCAACACAATTCATGCAATTATTTAATGAATTGTTTATTTCAAATCTGATCTGATTATTTATTTCCCGTACTTATGTAGCAATTTTTATTATTTCCCAAGGATTTAATGAATTATATCCTTTTCAGCTTGCAACAGGTAAGTATTTTATATGACAAATTGTTTCAACTAAAACCAGGGGCGGAGCTAGGGGGTGCCCAGGCTAGGCCCTGGCCCACCCCAATTTTGAAAAATGTCAATATTTTTAGTGTAAAAAAATTTCGTGTAATTTTTTTTTCAATAATATTCTTTGTACCGGCCCAGTCTAGCCCAGTGTCCTGGCTACGCCCCTGACTAAAACAATACATTGTCGAAGTTACGGGTTCTAACGCAAACTAAATTATGGCCCTGAGTTCATACCTATTTGGCTTGTATTTTTGTTAAACTTTCTACCTCTTCTCTTTTGTTTGCAATATTATATGAGTTGAAAAAAATATACTCCGTAATCAATATATATATATAAAAGAGGAACTTTTTAAGAGCATACAAAGCGCCACATAATCCCGCCATGTCATTATATATAACAATTATTTACTTATTTTTATACCTTTTTTTTTATTAGATTCTATTTTTGATTGCATATTGATATGGAAACAAAAATCCTTATAAATCCACCTTAACTAATTTGGTAAGCTTCAAATAAGTAAAATAATTTTTGGTTATCAAAGTAAAATTCTAATAACGTTTATTGATATGGAAACTAATTTATATTAGTTTACTACACCGATTTAAATAGAAACAAATATGTAAATTAGTTTACTTATTAATTTGACACCTATTAATAAATTAGTAAGCTTCAAATAAGTAAATAATTAAAAATGAAATTAAAAATTATAACCAACATAAAGTATATATATTTTCACAAGTAAATATGTTTAGCTTAGCCAAATAAGTAAATTTTTTTGGTTGTTTTTTTATTTTACACCTAAAATTCAAATATGTCTTCACTTTTGAAATAGATTCCTAATCCAAATTAGAAAATCTTTATAGGTTTACGAATTCCTACTTTTATTTTAATAGAATGTTTTTAATTGGATTGATTTCAGTTCCAGATTAAATCAGATCAGATCAAACTTTAATAATTACTCCCTCCGTCCCTTATAACTTTGCCAACTTTTTTTTAGTTGTCCCAAAAACTTTGTCACTTTCCCTTTTAATCAATTAATTTGTGGTTCCTGTTATTTCTCTCTCCTCTGCACAAACCTCTGCCACATAATTTTTACTTTATTATTCTATGTGTCGGTCAAACTTGACAATCCTTTTAGGGACGGAGGGAGTATAACAATAAGTCACATAAAAAACAGACATCTAATAGACCATATTAATTCACATTATTCCTGTTAATTCATATTAATGAGTAAACTGTAAGATCTAATAATTAAGAAATATAGAATTTTTTATTATTATTGGGTTCATAACAATTATGTTTACTTGAGATGCTTATGTAGAAGACCATTTAACTTTTTTTTCATATATTTTTTTCTTTGTTTCACAAATGGAATATATTTCACATATATTTTTCATGATTCAGAAGATTCCACCTATTTAACCAGAATTCAATCAATTTCAGCAACATAAGTTAATTCTATTTACTTTAGTATTATCAAACAGACTCCATATTAGACTAAGTTTATTTTTCTTTTAAATCACATTATATGTGATCTGATAGAAATTAAATTTCAAATTAGCTAAATTACATACTGCCCGTGCATCGCACGGGCTTGAAAGCTAGTTATATATATTTTCACACAAAGTACATTGAGTATCCATGCACTTTGAGATAAAATGATACACACCATTTTGAGATAAAATGATACGCACCATACATAGAATACTTGCCATACATTGGAAGCAACCGTTGGAGGATTTCACGAGATGTGCATGGATACTCATTCCATTGTCTAAGTATGCAATTCATTTTAAATTCAAAGGTAATTTTTTTTAAGATTTCTATTTTAGTTTTTTTAAAACAAACATTAAAAAGTAATATCAAAATAAAAAACATTAAAAAGTAATATTTATATGTAATTAAAATATAATTTCTAATTAAAATTGTATATTGCATAAGGCTTAGTTATAGTACTTGGCACGTACAAGGCCCTCCTAAATTTTGTGACGTTCTAGGAATAATGCATAATATTTTTATCATATATTCCAAATTGAATATATATATTTACATAATAGTGTGAAATGGTAAAAAATTACTCAGAATAAATTTTAGATTACAGTCATACCAAACAATTAAAATCTATGTTTCTCACTATTTGTTATACGAAGTTTTACTTTGTCTCACTAAAATGGTGCAGGGCATCTTACATGGTGCAAGCCTTCTCATGGCATTGTGAAACTTGGATGGTGCAATTCGGGATGACAGGTGCGGACTTGGATGGTGCCTGCGAGACGAGGAAGGAACTTTTGTTGTTGGTGCTGCTCAACCATGGCCGGGGAACCTTTCGCTGCTTGGAGCCGAACTTGTTGGGATTCAGAAGGCTTTTAAGCTGGCTGAAAGAGCTTGGATGGACAGCTATTGAGGTTGAATCTGAAGCAGTTGGTGCCATATCTGAAATATCAAATGGGTCGAGCTGCTCTTTGATTTGTTTATTGAGACGAAATAAGAGATTTAGAGGGAAAAAATTCGAGCATTTCTTTTGTCACATTAGTCGATTAGGATCAAGTCAGCTCATACTTTAGCTAGAGCTGCTTGTTCTATGTCTGATTCGCAATCTTGATTTTATACTCCTCCTTTTATTGCATCGGTCATAACCAACGATTTGATTACTGATAATTAAGCTTTTTCTTTTCAAAAAAAACTTCTATAATTCCAATAATAACTCACTTTTAATCATTGCGTAAAGAAAACTAAACCACACTTTAGAGCATCAGTTGAGTACTTTATTCCCACGTCAAACCAAAACACAGAATTTTACATACTGTGATTCATTTGTCCCCATTTAATACTCTGGATTAAATTTGAGACGAAGTTATTAAAAAATTGTCTAACGAATTTATTAAGATAAAAACTAGAAGAATGTAAACTGCACATTTTTTTAATTAAATGGTAAAAGTAACATTATTTACAGATGATCCGAAACAGAAAGTAGCAAGATAAAAAGGAAATCAGGGAGTAATACTTTTTCCTTGCCCGAGCAAAAGAGATTTACATGCAGCAAGTACTTCACCTTATTTGTAAAAGAAAATTGAATTCAAACAAAGAGAAAGGGAATGGGAGTAATTGAGTAAACGGTAAATTCACTTAGAATATGATACAATATAGCTTCTAACTTTCAAAGCCATTCATAGTGAAACCACCATCAACGGGAATAACCTGACCAGTTACATAAGAAGCTGAAGGAAGACAAAGGAAAGCAACCACTGATGAAACCTCTTCGGGTTCCCCTACCCGCCTGAGAGGGGTTCGGGATATCACCTTATCGAGGAATTCTTTGTTTGAAAGGGCCTGCAAAACAAAATTAATGACGTAAACAACTTATTTCATTGGAAATAAACACATGATAGAATAACATGCAATGTGAGTTATTAACATAAATAAAAGCTCATCTTGTAACTGGCAGAACTGTCATCGCCTATTGGCGCGAGACTAAGTGTTACTTAAACGAACTGCTGAGTTAAGCCCCGGGGGTAGAGAGTAATCAATTGGAGAAAAGCCTACAATTTTGATTCTAAAGTGAATCGAACTCGAGAGTCAAGAAATCACCCCTCAAGGGATGAAGTTAAGTGTGGAGTTTATCCAAGTGCAACACTTCTCTTTATGTTTGACGTTGATTCTATTGTATGTAAAAGAGAACTATGTGATGTGATTCTCAAACAAATATACTTTTAGACATAAGACATAACTCACATAAAGCTAGTTGATATCGGTTTTGAGAACAACTGGGTAAACTTCTACCATTAATCAGTTTTCCAGAATAGTCTTTTTTTAAGAAATTCTGCAAAACATATGAGTATCTAATACTTAACTTACAACAAGTTAGATTCACCTCACCCACAGCTTGGCCAATTAATCAAATTACAAAATCACCTTCCAGAAGGGGAGCCTTGGCGCACCGGTTAAGATGTTGTTGTGTACTTGTGTGACCGAGAGGTCATGAGATCAAATCTTGGGAGCAACCTCTTGTAAAAAAATGATAGGGGGAGGCTGCCCCTCTTCTTTTTTTATTACAAAATGACCTTTCAGATTTCTGAAAAACCATTGAACACCTAGAAATTTCGCAAACACTCATAGATGGTACTACCTCCGTCCCATTTTATGTGTCTTAGTTTGACTCGGCACGGTTATTAATGAAGTGGTTGAAAAAGTAAAAGTTGTGGTTGAGATTTGAGTATAATAAAGTGAAATGGTGTAGATCACATATTTCTTTCCAAAAAGGGAAAGGAGACACTTATTTTGGGACAACCCAAAAAAGAAAGTAGGACAGGTAAAATGGGACGGAGGGAGTACAATATAATGATTGCGGGAATAGTAATTTTGAACTAAATTACCCTCGACATACGTCCTGAAGATTCTTATTAGGAAAATCTTTAATTAATTTATTTAGCTGATAGAGCGCATTAAAACATCAACTACAATCACAAGGGCAGACAATGTTAACAATGACTTTGTCTTTGGCTACTTGCTCTTAAAGAAGGACGAGTATCATTATGGGGGTGTTTGGATCTGATTCTTAAAACTGTTTCTGCTCTTTCAGAGAGCAGTAGAAGAAGCTGGAGTGTTTGGGTGAAAGTGCAGAAGTGATTCTGGTGCTCTAATTTACTCCTAGAATCAGTTTTTTTAGAAGTCGGGGGTGACCAGCTTCTAAAAACTGATTCTGATTCTGCTTAAAAAAGAAGCAGAAGCAGAATCAGTTCCAAACACCCCCTATATTCTATGACCTTCAAGTGTTAATCAGCACCCCCCATAAATTATAATGTAAACAAAGCAATAGATCATTAGACAAGGAAGACAAATATTGTATACCGGTTCAACAAGAGAGGTTTTAATATACCAAGGTGCTACACAATTGACCCTAATGGCATCTTTTGCCCATTCACAAGCCAAGTTCTTTGTAAGTTGGTTCATAGCCCCTGCAAGTGCATATTCAATACAAACCAATGAATTATTACACTTGTATAACTATAATCACTACAGCTTCTGTTTTAAAGGGCATGTTTCGTAAGAGTTATACTGCTAAAATGGTTTATGCGTTGAATTTTGTAAGGAAAACTGTTCAGTTACATCCAATTCTGCACTTACTACAAGACTTATTTGATCTAAAAGATGGGAATTTGCTAAATAGTTTTAAATGAATAGATCGAGCTTACTTCATGTGTGCTGAAAAAGAGTCATGCTGGACCAAATGAAAATGAGTTTTCGAGAAATTTACAGATATCTTGGTCAAAACAAGACTTTTATTGCGGGGGAGTTATAATGATTTCAGCCAAAGTGCTTGCTTGGTAAGGGTCATATGGCTGAATTAGCCTAATTTGGTGAGTTTTTAAAAGGGGGAAGAAATTGGTCTCATCAATTTAAGAGAAATAAGTCAGAAGCTGTTGATTTTGTTTATTGTGATCATTATTTCTGTTATTCTCTTACGCTTCTATTGGTAAACAGAATAAGCCATTTAATGCTACAACACAGAAAATTTAACATACATGCTTATGTAAAGGGGCTAATTTTTGTGATTAATAAAGCTCACCTTTGGTAGCGCCATAAATAGATCCGGCAGCAATATGTACCAAGCCAGCAACAGAGGAAACAAAGACAATGGATCCAGCTCCGGATGCCTTTAGAAGAGGATAAGCAAGTTGAGAAAGATGGTAAGAAGACTCTAAGTTGGTAGCCATGAGATAAGAGTATTCTTCAGCTGTATACTCAACGGTAGGCTTCAAAATAGATTTCCCAACATTGTTAACCTGCACCCAGATTAATAAAAGTATCACTGTATCAGGAATGAGGCAGAGAGAACTGTCTCATACATGTCAATTTAATGGCATCTCAAGTTATTTAGGTAGTTGTTTTAAGTGTCCCAAAAACAGATAAAGGATGATTTGCTAGAGGTACCACCTTTGAGGCTTTGATTATATAAGAAGTGAATATCCAAAACTTTTACCTATAGATTTTGATGTTGAGTCTCAAAATCCAGCTCTTAGCTAAGATTGTAAGAACACTGAAAATGAAGTTTTCTAATGTTGATGTACTACAAACTTTGACATCTAGAATGATTAGCTGCTCATCTAATTTAAGGTCACATGATTGAGGCAACTTTGAGCTTTTCCCATTTTTATCTTTTGACAATTGTATCAAATACACTTTTGGTACTCAACTTTGAAAGTTTCCACTTTTCATCCCTTGAATATACTGACAGAGACATCCTTAGTACTACCATCTTTGATTTATTTTCCTTTTAACGATGATTATGATAATCAAATCTTTGATTATGATAACTTTTTCTTGCCATGAAAATGAAGCTTTTGGTACTAGTTTTTTGAAGTTTTGAACTTTGTCATGATAATTGGAGAACCAAAAGTGTCTATCACTATAGTCATGCTGCGGAATACTCACAAGAATATTGAGCTTGCCATCAAAGGCAGAAGAAACCTTCTGTGAGAGAAGCATGCGCTGATCTCTGGACGTGACGTCACAGACGAAACCTGAGACTTTGAGGCCTTTAGAAGCCCAACCTTGCAAGCACTGGTTCAGCTCTTCTTCATTCCTGGAACAGGTGTATACACTGGCGCCCATTTCAGCCAGTTCCTCCACCACTGCACGCCTAATCGAGGAAAATTCATATTACAGGAGGAATTGCTAATCCTTGAAATTGAAATGATTTTCAAGAATTTTATTTAAAAAAGAAAAAGAAAAAAGGGTAACTGGATAAGTAATTAATCAGATACCCGATTCCTCGAGTTCCTCCGGTAACAAGAGCGGTCATCCCCGAAAGAGACCATCTTGAACGACGACTGCTACTCCTCTCTTCATCCTTAGCCATTACTGAAACCATTCACTTCTTTCACAGAAAAAGCATATATGGATCAGGCGATGCCACGACACGTTTCGAATTGCATGCCTTTCATTTTTTAAATTAACAAAAGCTTCCCGCGGTTAAAATTTATGCTGCACTTACCTAGAGAATTTAGGTTTTTAAAATTCAGGTTTTCAGCTGATCAATTTTAGAGTATTTAATAATAAAAAATTTACTATTACAGCTCAAAGACTGAATAAATGGTCAAGTTGATCAAATTTTTAAAAGTAAACGTACTTATATGCTATATTTTTTTAGTATAAGAGCTTAAGTGATGAGTCAAAAATAGTAGAAGAGCTCAAGAGCTTATTTCACCCCTTTTTGATGTATTATGCCAACTTATAAATTTAGAGCCCGTTTGGTAGCATCAAAATCGGCTGTTTTGGCTGATTCTGCTGAAATTTATGATATTCTGGCTGGAGTGGCTGTTTTGGCTGATTCTGCTGATTTAAGAAAAAAATATTTTAAAAATATATTTTATTAATACATTAAAGAAAAAATTATATGTAAAAATAGCTAAAATGGTCCTCTACAGTAACTTCAGCCAATACAGCCAGAAAAGTAACTCCAACCTTACTTTTTCGGCTTATTACACAATTCAGCGCGCGAAAGTAAAAGTTACTGTTAG